AAGCATTTTAGAAGCCTACATGAATTGGAGCCATGATTTATTTCAATAAATTAACCTAAGCCCTGCACAAGCCTTTATTTCTCACATTATAGTATAAAACCAGAAAATGCACTTAGACACATTCTGCATTTTAATTATACTTTCAGAGGATATAACGGTTGTATAAATTAAGAAGCAGTAAAATTAAATCGATTTTTCCATACATGCAGAAAGATGCAAGGCTTAATGTGCATTATAATTAGGACAACGAAATCAATTGTAGATTTTGTTTCAAAGTCACAAAAATCCTAAATTGTACTGAACTGCCAACCTCTTCCAGCTTGTCACTTGTTTCCTTAAAATCAGTCTAACACCTTTCTAAGTCCTGCTTTTGGCAAGCTGCTAAACCCAGTAGCCGTAAAGCTGGTCCTTATAAGAAGTTTTTGGTACAGGAAGCTCTGGGAATGAGAAAAGTCCTCTTTTGATCTTTTCAGTCCAAAATATGTCTGATTTGACATATTGAACTTCTGAGGGGTGATTCAGAAAATGTCTCCAACACCTTTGCGTTGACAAATGAGAAGCAAAAGTAAAAAAAAAAAATGCTTATTCTCTCTTGGTTTCACACTGTTGTCAGAGGAAATGTGTGAAGAGGGCTTGGGGGACTGTGAGTTACCTCATGGCAAAGAGGAGGGTCAATGTTCCATGAGAATTCTGACAAATTCCAGGACGGGACTGGGTGCTGACCTTCACTTTCGGTGTGGACAGTTGGTCTTTGCATGTTCTATCGCACCCTAAATACTCACTGTAGACATCACACTTCAGAAGCATCACCAAGAGATGGTCCAATGCCAGGCAAACCCTCGTGATCCTGTAACAGACAGAATCCTTCTGAGGTTCCCAACATTTGGTTCCCATTTCTGCCCTCTATCGTGTGTGACAGGCAGCCACCTGTGATTTTAAATATCCAGAGCATGGGTTTCTTTCTCTCCTCCCTACAATTAAAACCTGATTTAAAGAAAGATATTACATTAGTCATTTGCAGGGGAGGGTGATCCTGCTGCTGGGTGGGGACATTCTAGATCCTAATTAAAGTAGTGAAAGGCTCTGCTTCTCATTGAGGAAGTCAGGTCTCCATCAATGATTTGGGAAGGAAGCTGAGATGCTGAGGCCTTGGCCCTGCCTCAGAAGTCAGGGCCATTTACACAACCTGAGGCCCAACTTTTCCCAAGGGTTTGCACAGCTCTTTCCTGGGTGTTGCTTTTAATAAGCTCAGAATTAGAAAGCAAATTCTGATATTGAGCACTTGCTGAGTGCTCCATGAAGACAAGAGATGGGGGTCGAGGGTGTCTTGTTCACTCGTGGTCCCCTGCATCTGGCACAGGACCCAGTATGGGGGTGATGACCAAACAGTATGGATCCAATGAATAAATGGTGGACTGAACACCTCTTGAACTAAACGTTGTGATTGATTCACGTGGCAGAGATTACTTTCAAAGGCAGGAGGTGTTCCTGTGGGCAGACCCAGGCCTTGAAAACTTAATTCTATTATTTATTTATTTATTTTTATTTCAATATGTTTTTGGGAACAGGTGGTGTTTGGTTACATGAATAAGTTCTTTAGTGTTTGTCTCTGAGATTTTGGTGCAACCATCATCTGAGCAGTGTACAGCTGCTTCCTGTGTGTACCCAGTGTGTAGTCTTGTATCCCGCACCCCCATCCCACCCTTTCCCTTGAATCCTGAAAGCCCATTGTATCATTCTTATCTATCAGACCAAATACATGCCAGAAATATCCCATTAACCTCATTCATGGTTAGACTTTGTACTCTTTGCTCCCTTTATGAGCCTCTTCCTATGAATGAGTAAATGCGTGAGTGCCATGGGGGTGGTGGCAGAGGTGGGAAGAGGTGGGAAGATCATTTCTTTCATCTCACAAAGAAATGATATCCAAAATCTATAAGGAACTCAATCTGTCTGGCTTCTATCTGTCTGGGGATGAGACTATTTGGATTGGTTATAGATTTATGTCTAAACCAAAAGTTGTTATCTTGAAAGGAGGCCCATTATTATTTTGTATTCAGCCTGGGGTATGTGAGTCAAACTTTCTCAGTTATAATCATTAGTTTAGGATGTGGGGGCTGGTGTATTAAAAGGAGAATCAAAGAAAATAAATTAGTTTCAAGCATGGCTGGACCTGTTAAACTATTCTTATTTTTTTTTAAATATCTTAATTTTCTCTCATTTGTCTTTTTTCTCTGATATTTGGGAGATTTATTTAAGCTTATCTTTTAATTCTTCTAAGTTTTTTATCATTTTAATTTTTCATGAGCTTTTTTTGAGTCTTCAATGTTTTTCTTTTATAGCTTTCTTTTCTTATTTTGTAGATACAATATCTCAGTATATACCCTTTTCATGAAGAAGATTAAGGTGTTTCTTTTTAAGGTGTTCTTCTCCTATGTTTTCTCTTATTTCCTTTGAGTTATTTTTTTCTGTATGTTTTGGTCTCAACTTTTCCTGATAAATTACTGTTGCTGCAGAGGTCTCATCTTCTTTGTTTCTGTTAGATTATGACTTCATAAATATGCTTCATTCATTTTAGTGTGTCTCTGGGTTGTCTGTTTAATAGTGGACACTAAAAAGTCCAAGGCAGGATTTTGTGTGTTATTGGGAATTGTCAGCTGTGGACTTCTGTGGACTGCAGTTAGCTGAGATGTTTTTATTAGGAAATCCTAACATCTGTATCTCTAGAGTTTCCCATTGGGCTCCTCAAAGGAGGATCTTCCATTGACTTGTCTTGAGGTTTAAGACCTGTCTGGCAGTGTGCTGAGAGTTGTGTCAAGGAAGAGATCCATGGGTCTCAGCATTGAGTGTAATCCTTATTCAATCTTTGTTTTTAGAAAGATACCCTCTCATTTCACTATACCTGATTCCCTCTGCTTACCTTCTCCTTAGAATAAACCTCTCTGGCCAGATACAGTGGCTCACACCTCTAATCCCAACACTATGGGAGGCCAAGGCAGAAGGATCACTTGAGCCCAGGAGTTTGAGTTCGAGACCAACCTGGACAACACCGAAAGACTCTGTCTCCGTAGAAAATTTAAAAATTAGCTGAGTATGCTGGTGCATGTCTGTGGTCCCAGCTACTCGGAGGCTGAGGTGGGAAAATCACTTGAACCCAGGAGGTTAAGGTTGTAGTGGGCCATCATTGTGCCACTGCATTCCAACTTTGGCAACAGAGAGAAACCCTGTCTCAAAAATAAAAAATAAAAATAATAAACCTCTCATCTCCTGCCAATGCTAGAGAGTAGGCAGCATCTGGGAATGGAAAGTGGGGAGGGGATGTGTGGTATTGACTGAGCCGATTCTTAAGCAAATTTCCACTTAACCCTCCATTTTGGTGCCATCTTCACTACGTGCAAAAATAATTTGAATCTGTTGAGGGTTCAGTAAACACCTTTCTCAGATCTACTTGATCAATTGTTTATTACTTAATAAAATCTTTCCACATTCTTTGTGGGTTCCTCTGTGTGTGTGTTTTAGCTGTAACAACCAAAAGTAAATGTGCATGTTCGGTCCCTTGGTGCTCTTAGGCCCTTTGTCTCCTAATGTCCACAAAATATCCCATAAGAACACTGATCAAAGATGTTTGGATCCCTTGCCTCAGCCTCTCAACTTGGCTCTAATCCTGTGAGCTTGGTTCTCTTGAGAGTCTGGGTCACGTGCTTTTCTTTGTGATAGGCAACCTGTGACTATATGATTGACAACTACATGAAAATCATGCAAATGGCCGTTCCCCAAAGAAAGAAATGCAGTGCCAACAAATTGGCAGCAACTGTCCCAGACACAGGGCAGCTTTGTCCTCCAAAAGGTGCTGATCTCAAGGAGGCATGGATTATCCTCGGTTGCTTTGTATTCAAAAACTGTTGGCATCGTCTCAGAAACACTAGTTATCCAAGCAGAAAGCACCTCCCTTGGTGTTTTTCTCCATTGTAAGCCTCAGCAACATCTGTTCACACTTAGCACTCCTGAATCCATTTATTAATGCAGATGCCCATTGAAGTGCAAGGACAGCAAAGGCTTCCTAGAGAAATCTCATACCCTGGGGAGAAAAAGGAAGTCATGACAAACAGGTTCTCCCAGAACTGTGGGCCTGGGACTTTGGGACTGCACATGGCATTGACAGGGGAGAGACACAGTGTTCTTCCTTTATTTGGATGACAAGCAGAAAAAGTGTGACATTTACTTTCCTGTTTTGACTGCTCAAGTCCTAAAGGAAAGAAATCTAATGTAAAAAATGTAAATAATCTGCATGAGTTGTTTGGGTAAATGTTTTTTGCTTTTTGAGTCTGAGTCTGCCTCTGTCACCCAGGCTAGAGTGCAGTGTGGTGTGATCTTGGCTCACTGCCACCTCCACCTTCCGGGTTCAAGCGATTCTCCTGCCTCCTGCCTCTTCCTCCCAAGTAGCTGGGATTACAGGTGTGCACCACCACACCCGGCTACTTTTTGCATTTTTAGTGGAGACAGGGTTTCACCATGCCGTCTCAAACTCCTGACCTCAGGTGATCCACCCGCTTCGGCCTCCCAAAGTGCTAGGATTACAGCACTGTGAGCCACTGCGCCCAGCCAGGTAGATGATCTTTATTTCTGTAAGTATTTCTTTTGCATTAGTTTCTGAAACATGATGCCTGGGACATTCAAGGAAAGAACGTCATCCTTCTTAAAGGTTTAAACTCGAAGCTAAAAAAACCTTTTGTTTCCTGTTGAGACCTCTGGCCACCCATCCCACAATGACGCAGTCTAGAAGACAATGCTTTGGAAGGACATTCTTAATGGCAAACTTTAAATGAAGTCAATCTTGGGCAGCTCAATGACAATACCTATATGTTATGTCCTTTTCCTGCTTAACAAGAACAAAAGGCCACAGCCAGACCAATTAGTCATATAGAAGGGATGAGATGACATTTTTACTTCTGAACTTTTCTGGTATAAAAGAGCTACCCAACAAGGATCTGACAGTAAGTGTGAGAAATTTGGCAATAAAACCACCAATCTGCACAGATTTTGGCAAGTCCAAAATGATTAGGTAAAAGGCTACATTTTTCTGCAAAGAAAAATGCTGAATTTTTATAAGCTGTTTTACTTATTCTTGCCTAAATGAGACTAAATGTTGATTGTGTTTTTTCTGCCTCGCAGCTCACTGAAACTCAATCTCATCCTACTTCTGCTGCTGTCGACAACGCATGTGTTTCGGTGTTATCCAGTTCTATCTTCCAAGGTAAGGATTTGCCTCTAATTTAGATACCTAAATAGATGACGAAAATGGCAAAGTATGTAAATTCCAAATACTCTGAAGGAATATGTGCAGAAAAGTTATTTCCTTTATTATTAGAGTTCTCAATGGGAAAAAGTCAGCAGACTGATGAAATTAGTAAAAGAAAATATTTGTGTGACAAGTAATACTGGACTATATTCAAATTTGTTTTGAGTCATTTAGGGTTGGCTCCTGCAAAGGGAAATATTCATCTCAATGTAAAATAATTTTTTGCCAGTGGTAATTTATTTATTCCACATGCATTCATTCATAATCAAAGTGCACACTTAACCGTGGAAACTATATTAAAAATACAGTGGTCATTTTTCAAAAACAGTTAATTTTTTTCAGCTGCAGAATATAGATAGAATGTTAGATCTAAATAAAATATCACATAAAATATTAATTCATATATTTATTCAAGAATGCTGATTGAGCTCCTGTGTTCATTGAGCTGTTCAAGACATTCAGAAAATAAATATCTTTCTCTGGAATATTTAATACTATTTCTACATGACATTTCAGTTGCTTTTATGTCAATATTTTGTTTAAAATTTTAAAATATCTTTTGTCATTGTTAGCATTTTGAACTTTAACTTTTTTTCACTAAAACTTAATCTGTCACATTATAATTACTGAAATCAATGTGATTTATGAAACTACTTTTAGGATAAAGAGATGTCACATAAATCCCAAATGATAAATATATGTCTACACATAATGCTCTAGTTATTTATATTATTGGCCTTCTCGCTAATCTTTGCATCTGTCATTTTAAAATTTCTTGTTTAGTTTATATAGCTTCTTATTTATTTATTTTTGGTTTTACTCCTATGAGCATTCAATGCTAATTTAGTCATCAATTCTATAAGACACCACATTGATCAAGCTGATGAGTCACAATCCATAAATTGGTATATTTTCTCAAGTGTCTCCCTAATTACTTTCCGTTCTTTCCTCAAAGGTTTACTCATGACATTTCTGTTGAATAAGAGACACTTCTCTGTAGCTTCTTTTTAAAAAAATTAAGAATGTACTTTGTTCTAAAATACTCATGAGACTTCCTTGTCCATAAATGCAATGTTTCTCCTTTCACTGCATTTTCCTTGTTTCTATTTCTGCATGTGACAGTTTTGTTCTTGTTATTACAGAGTCCTGTAGTAAGAGTGTGGATGGTATCCATGCCAATTTGATTGCTTAGGGTGAATGATTATGCAGGCAGATGACACGTAGGCTTTTATATTTGTTGTGAACTTCACTGAGTCCATTAACCAGGCACATATACAATCTTATTATGTTAATGAGTCTGCCCTGGCAAGGGCTGCCTTCAATGATCAGCAAAGAACATCAGTACCTTTTTGGGGATGTTTCAGGAATCTCATAACCAGAACTGATACATTTCTTTTGCAGTATAAAGGTGGCATCATGAGTATTTCTGGAAAGAACTGGCTTGCTTCCCTTCCTGGAATGACTCAGAGGCCCCTCCCGGCTGGGGATTTTAAATAGAAGGCATTCTATCTATCAAGTTTAGATTTCCTCTGTTAACACACAGAAAAACACGTAGTGGGTGTCCAACTAAGAGTGTTTCATTGGTTTTCTCATTAACAATACTTCTGAAACTCTGACCAAACTCTCTGAGATCAAAAAGGAAAAAAAAAAGCCCATTTTTTTCCCCAGAGGACAGAGGGAAGGATTGGTCTGGGATACACTGAATCTTCAGTAAACCACCCCATCATGGGTGAAGAATTATAGGGAATACTTTATGCACTCTGGCTCCATTTCAACTTCCAGATACAGTAACCTGAGACTAAACTTGTTTTTGTGCACCACGATAGAAATAATGTCTGGTTTTTACATTGTATTATGTCTCTTTATTGATAATAAAAGCACTCAGTTTCCTTTTCCTCTTGTAGTTCTAGTATAGTTGAGAAACCTAAACTTGGAGTCAGATACCCCGAAACTAATGGCACCTATGTCACAGAGCTTTGTTCAGGAGTGAGACAAGATGATGCCCATAAAGCAAGCAGCACACAGATCATGGATAAATCTGTGCTTTGCATTATTGGTGAACCTTGTGTTAGCATCTTATCAGTGTTTTCTAATTCTTCTGAAACCACGGAAGAGGGAAAACATGACAGCTGTTGATGATTCGTACCTAAGCCCTGGGTCAGAGCTGCCTTTTGGAATCTCCAGCCCTGTGACATGGGGCATGCACCTTTGGTCTTGTGCTTTGTTTCTTCATCTGCAAAATAGCGGGTTGAACTTCAGGTTCCTGAAGTCCCGATTGAACTCTAAGGTTGCAGATCTATTTCTTTCACCACTAAGCACCCTCCACTGTCCTGTACTATCTGGATCCCAAGCCGCTGATGAGGACCTGAACTAAAGTCAGAAGTTGAAGATGCCATTGTTCAAGCAGCAAGACATTCTTATGGGAAAACTTGGCAAATGGCCCAGGACAAGCCCCAGGAGAAAAGCGGTTCTGATTGAAACCTAGAGTCTGATCTTCATGGGCTGTTTTCCTAAGTGAATTTCAAAAATGATTCCCAGGGCTAATTAGTGCTGCTTGAAATATTCTTTATAAAATAACAGCAACAAGATAACTTAAGTATAGTGCATGATATAAATATGGAATAGCAGCAAGTATACAAGTAGTGCAAAAATTAGACAAGTGAGTAGATCACTCCAAATAATATTTCGTATCTAGATAAATATTGTGTTTTAGTAAAACTTCTGCCTTTAAGATGATTGATATATTAGATTTATCGCCATAAGATTTTGAAAATTGTTACTGTTGAAATACACTTTTAGCCCTAAGGCTGTATTCTCTTTTTCCTCCCCCATCTGAATTGACAGGTGTCTGGAAAATCTGATTACTTTCTCATTCTGCTGAACAGCTGCCCAGCTAGACTGGACAGGAGCAAAGAACTAGCTTTCCTAAAGCCAATTTCGGAGAAGATGTTTATGAAAAGGTCCTTTCGCAATGGAGTTGGCACAGGGATGAAAAAAACTTCCTTTCGAAGAGCAAAATCATGACTAAGTGTGCAAAGGACTCCAGGAGTTAGTCTCAGATTGTAGGGTGTGACTGACATGCTCAAGGTCCATCGTCTCCTTATCACTGAGTGTTGGCATGCTCTCGATTCTCAAATATCTTTCCTCTCCTAACTGGTACAGAATAAATTGAGTTTAAAAAGAAAGTAAACCTGTCTCAAGCTTCCACTTGTGGGAGAAAACACAATTTATGTGGTCCATTAGTAGCTGTTTCCCAAATGGGATGGACACATTACCTTTGGTCTTAACTTGGCCAGAATGCATGACCACGTTCACAGTCATCACAATGGTACTTTATTTCCTGCCTATGATATCGTAACACGAATAGTGTGATGTTTATTATTCCTTTTATATTGTTTTCTCAAATGGCTTAACAGGGCCAATTCTTGGGGTTAGGGATGTACTATTTCTGTTTCTAAGGGGCTTGTGAAATTAACTAAAGTTAAGGTGAGTGGTACAGCTGTATCAATTAATTAATTAGCTGATACCAAGAACAAACATCGCCACAGTCCTCTAGATGTAATTCTTGCCTCCCTTTTCCAATTCCAAATGTGCTTAGCTATAGGTTGTTCTTTTGTCTTGTCTCAGAAATTCGTTGCCTTTTAAAATCTTTAAACAAAGAAATGCTGCCGGTAACAACAATAACAGAGAGACTGGCAGTGCCCTGTGTTGCTGGGGCAGCCGTTTGGAAACGTGTTCCACAAATCACACTGATTAGTGCCCTCTCTTTCCCCTTTCCTTCCAGGAAAGACTCCCCACTCTTTGCATTGAAACTCCTGACATTGCTTTTTTAAAAGGATAATGTGACATTGGTTGATGTGTTATTTCAAAAGCATAAAGTTAATAAATCTATTCATGCATATTGGATTCTGCAGCACACTAAGGGTGTTTGCTGTAAGCCATACACAGCTCCTAGACTAGGGGCAGTGGAAGCTGCCTGTGGTGACCTGTCCTTAGTCATCAGCTTTGGATAGAGACACAGAGTCTTCAGAAAACAGTACTCATGGTGAGCTGGTCTCACTGTAACCAGCTAGGTCTGCTCAACCAAATCAATTTCCACACAAAGCGGTCTTCACACATGCTGTATTGCTGGTGATGTGCCACGTGCCCACGGAAAGAAACCGAGGCCCCTAGAGGTCTTCTGTGCTTTCTTGGTGACTTCTACAAAAACAAGTGGTTTCATGTTTGTGGTGTGTGCTTATTTCACTCTTGTTGCATAGATTCATCCTAAGCATTAAGGGACGAAGTAACATAGATCATGTAAATGTGAGTTACAGGAAGGAGCATTTATTTTAAGGATCAGGGAACCTCAGGGAAACATTTTGTAAGGTACAGAGAAGCTTGGTAGAAGTGGAAGCCATCAGGCAGCAGCCCTGCCCTCCGGGGTCCCTTGCCCCCTTCTAGCTGTGTTTTCTTCCCTGCAAACTGGATGGTCTGCAAGACCTTTGTTTCTGCTCTCCCATAACTTCCATCCACCTGGGGCTTTGTGTTGCTCTTCAGGGCCTCACAGCATGAGGCCCAGCACCTCCCCCAGGTCAGCATCTTTAATTTCCCTTTGGGGTCAGGGATCCATGCCTGGTTCTCTCTGCAGCAGTCAGAGATGCAGGCAGGGTCATGTGCCTGTAGTCACAGACTACATCGTCTCCTTATCACTGAGTGTTCGCATGCTACCGATTCTCAAATGTCCTTCCTCTCCCAACTGGTACAGAGTAAATTGAGTTTTTTTTAAAAAAGTAAACCTGTCTCAAAGCTCCACTTGTGAGAGAAAAAACAATTTATGTGGTCCATTAGTAACTTTTTCCCGAATGGGATGGACATGTGGGCTGTGGCAGGGCAGACCCCTACGCAGGGGTATGAGACAGCAGGAGGTGGAGGAGGACATTGCTCCTTCTGCTGTGTCACCCACTGCACCAGCGCTGTTCCCTGGGTCCAGAAGGACACATGTGGCCTTTCGGTCTGGTCCTTCTTTCAGTGGATGTTCCATGTATAGGAAAGCGAGATGTACCCTTCAATAATTTTTAAACATTTGCTTAAACAAATCCATATTTTCTTTCTAAGATCACCTCCTGCCCATCAGTGCTCCCCCAAAACACACAAGTGCATATGAACACACACCAGAGCGGGCAGCTATGGGCCGATTTTCTAGATGCAAAGGCATGGCCTTGAGTCTTGATGCAAACATGGCTTGTGGGTATCCACAAGGATAAGCAGGTGGGGATATAGGGTACAGGTGGCACTGGGAGAGGAAGAGCTAGCTCAGGACAGGCGTCCTCCACCAGGTCCTCTGCTGCTCCCTCGTCTGCCTGTGGAGGGTCTGGTCCTTCTAGCACCTTCCCCCACCAGCAGTCACATGAGAGGTTAAACTAGCCCTTCAGTGGCACCGTGGCCTCTGTCTCTGTTCCCAGGGGGTGTGGAGTGGGGCAGGTGGGAGACTGCTGTGCAGGTGTTGAAACGAGAAATCAGCCCAGCAGTGCTCCAGATGTTGGCGTAGGATCTGGAGCCATTCCCTTGACCCACCGATGGCATCCAGTTGCCTTCCTGCTTCGTGGCCACAGAGATCACTGAAGTCATTGAGATTTTAAAGGAATATCTGAAATCAGAAACAAACAAACACCTTCAAAGTGAATGTACCTTAATTTTTTTAACCCCAAACAATCATTCCATTTCCCACTTCTCCCTGTGTACATGGACACAGATGAAGCGAGGTCCTCAGGCAACACTTGTGTCTCTGTTTTCTGTCACTATGGCCTCTTCCTATGAGGCGGCTTTAAAAATCTAAGCCATCAGCCACTGTCCTTACCCTTGGCCCTGAAACTGAAGTCCTCTCAGAGCATCTGCAAATGCGGCAAAGGGGCTCTGCAGCACTGTGAGTTTTCAAGGGTAACATGCAAAATGCTTCCAATAAAATGTGCAAGATCTGACAGAAGCTTGTCAGGGAAATTGGCATTTCTTATCTGCCTAACGTTATTGGCAGGAAAGCTAATTAGATAGCCTGATAGGCGTTATTTACTCCTGCGAAGTAGAAAACAAGTTACGACTGCATTAATAAGCTCATGGTAAGTGTGGTGTCAGTGGGGCATCTTGTGTACAGAAGAGAAAAGATTGTTATTTCAGGAGAATCTTCCTAATTTTCTATTATTTGCATTTATATGGATTGGTTGGAATAATAAAAAGCCAAAAACATAATTGGAAAAATTCGCTTCCCACTTCTAGATCTAAAATATCATTTTAATCTCAGGGGGAAAAAGGCCTATGAAAAACTATTTGTGCTCCAAAAATCATAGCAGATGAAATGCTGGTAGGCAGGAAAAATTTCTTTTTGAAGAAAAATTGTACCTCTTGCTAAAGTTTTAGGAATAAAATGTTTAAGAGCAAGGCCTGCTCTCAAGGCTGCATTGGCAGGTAGGAGAGTGGCTTGTGGGGACAGGGGGGCAGTGATGAGAGGACCCTGGTGACCCTCTATCCCCCAACACCAGGGATGCTGCAGCTGGAGACCTGAATTTCACCTTTAGAGCTGGATGCGTCAGCAAAGCTTTGTAAGACCTTGGAATGCAAACATTCCAAGGGATGAATTACCTTTTAGTCAATTTTTGTCAACTCTACCTGAATGTGATTGAGCTTCATGTTCTATTTGGAGAGACTGTATCAGAAGGGAAGGAAAAGAATTCATGAGGGCCACAGGTACCTGGAGACAGAGAATGCTGGTGTGGAAAAGGGGAGGGCAAAGGGAAGCTTAGGAGGCCGGATATCAAAGACACCCAGGCCACACTAACTGTGCTTGAATCCTGGGTTCCTCTTTCACTGAATGGTACCATGTTGCTCAAGCTTCTAGAATGCTTTTGAGCCCAAGCTTCATCATCTATCTATAAAATGGGGCCAGTATTATTTATGTTGGAAGATTGTTCATTTATTAATTCACATTTTTGGCAAACGTTTATTGAGCACCTTCTATGTTTTAGGTGCTGGGAATGCAGCAGTGAAGAAAATAGAACACAATTACTGGCGTTGGATGCGGTGACGGAATTAGAGAAAACAAGAATATATATTTAATATATAATCCTATATATATGTGTATATATGTGTGTGTGTACATAGTATTTCAGAAGGAAGGGGAGCTGGAGTATTGTGGGGTAGAGATGGAGTACAATTTCTGATTCAGTGGTTAGGTAAGGCATTGCTGAGAATTGTGAGAATTCCACTTTCCTGGATTGGAGTGAGTAGGGCGAGGGTGGAGAGAGATGGCATCACACAGGTAGGAGGGCTCCTGCAGGACTTTTGTTTTTCCTCTGAGTGACAGAGGAAACCACTGGAGGGTTTTTAAGAAAAAAAAAATCATCAAATGTATTTTTGGCTTTCATAAATTCCTAAGAATGAAACTGAAATACACACATAGCAGGTTTCAATAAAAGTAGGAGTAGTTTGTTGTGTGAACGACATCCAGCAACACAGATTCATCCTTCCTTGCCCGCTTCGCAATTCTGCCCTGAGAAGTAATTAAGCTGTGATGTGAAGCCCTTGATTGGACCAGGGCACTGGGGTGGGAACGCAGTTGCTCTCCAAAGTGCTGAGGGAATTGGGGACAGTAGAGCAGATTCCTGGCCCATCCTCCGAAACTCGCCTTGAAGCTAGAATGCCATGGCTCTGAATTCTTTTTCATATGTGAATGAGAAACATTTTGTTCTCAGAAATATCTACTGAGATTATAACAGAAATATCCCCCATTATTTTTGGAGGGATGCATGAAGTGATGGTGAATACTAAGTGTCAACTTGATTGGATGGAAGCATACAAAGTATTGATCCTGGGTGTGTCTGTGAGGGTGTTGCCAAAGGAAATTAACATTTTAGTCGGTGGCCTGGGAAAGGCAGACACACCCCTAATCTGTGTGGGCACTGTCTAATCAGATGCCAGCGTGGCTAGAATATAAAGTAGGCAGAAAAATGTGAAGGAGAGACTGGCCTAGCCTCCCAGCCTACATCTTTCCCCTGTGCTGGATGCTTCCTGCCCTTAAACATCAGATGCCAAGTTCTTCCGTCTTGGAACTTGGACTGGCTCTCTGCTCCTTAGCTTGCAGACAGCCTATTCAGGGACCTTGTTATCCTGTGAGTTAGTACCTGGTAAATTCCATAAACATATTAGTTCTGTCCCTCCAGAGAACCCTGACTTATACACGTAAGTATGAGTGGAGAGTGGGGGTTAAAGCTCAAGCAAAGAAATAAAATAATTAAGATTTCTACTTTTGCAGTTGACTTTTTAGGGTGCTCTTCTCATTTTTTTTTCTGTTGGCTATTTATTTCTAATGTCAATCCTTAAAAAACAAAGATGTATGCTACAAAATTTTTACTCCAAAAATTCATTCCCATTCATCTTTGAGTACTTGCAGGAAGAGATCAACATTTTACGGAAGGGAAATCTGAAAACAATTGGATTTCATCTCCCACATGTAGCAAGGCTGAGAATATGGCAATTTGCTATCCAAGGCCTGTTCCTACACTCACTACGCTCATTTCTCCTGTTGTCCTATCAGAAAATAACGGTGAGCATCCAGGAGCCTCCTCTCCACTCTTTCCCTCCTGAGCTCCTCTTTGTTAATATTCAGACACACTCATCTGGTGAGGACAGAGGCAGGCTTCTGTGTTGGTGGAAGATTGTGGCTTGAATTCTCCTTTATGGGGTAAATATGGTCTTTTGGTTGACCCTGATGGCTCTCGCAGGGCTGTCTGGGATGGACCCTCACCTGTGCTTCTCCTCTTCATGGGGGCTGTGCACACTTTCAACTTCCCCCAGTGCCACCTTCCCCCAAGCCAGGTGTACAGGTTTTCTGAGCAGCTGACCCCACCAGCTCAGTGTTTGTTCCTAG